GAATTCTGGGAGTTGAAGTCCGCTCGTCTTAAAGTGGCCAACTTTGGACAACACTGCTCTAGGCTAAAGACTGAAGTCGAAAAACAGTGGAAGGAAACCACCAAAATCCAGCTACTCACCGTGTAATGAAAAGGCTTCTTTGATGGTGACAGGAACGCCCAGCAAGGGGAATTTTTTCTGAAGTGACTCTTCATCTTCCTGTCCCTCGGACAACAGCTGATCAATGGCTTGGGCCTCCTGCAGGGCAGCCTCAAACCTGATCAGATAGGTAGGGAAAGAGCAGGGAGGAAAAAACAGATGTCTCTAGTTGAGGAGCAGGCTATATTTTTCAACCCAGGGATTTCATAAGCAGCTTGCAAGTATGGTTACTCTGATATCCCTGGAGTTGGCGGGGCCAGAATGTTGCCTGTCTGGCATCTGGGGACCTAAAGCAGCAAGACAAGCTCCTTAGAGAGGCGTTCTGCAGCAACGTGGGGCAAGGAATGGCAAGTCCCACCCCCACAGTGACATCACTAGGCAAGCCCCTCCTTTAGATATCTGGGTCATGACGCTGCTGTGGGGTGGGGTTTGCATAGCAACATCATGGGACATGTTCAGGCACCATGAATGTGCTTGATCTTGCTTGCCAGCAAAAAACAGGCCCGGGGGGGGGTGTTTAATGACCAGTTATCTTCTAAAAGCCGACCAGCTACAGCCAGCTGCTGTTGGACTGTTTTTTGCTGGCAAGAAATAATGAAAGCCCCACTTAAAAAGACAAAATGCTGACCTCTGCATGGATTTAAAAAAAAAAATCTGGGAATCCGGTTACGTTGACTGATTTTACTGGCTATAGCAGGGGGGCCTTTTTGGCTCCTGAACCCCCCCAAACCCTACAAAATTTTAAAAATCCACACAATACCAGACTCACTCTTTCCAGGGGCTACTGGGGGTGCTAAATAAGCAGTGCCCATCACTGCTCTGGCTAACCCCGATGCAGTCCCCTGATGATGCCTGCTGAAGTTCTCACTAGCTGAAGTTCTACTTTGGGGCTACAGTGTTGGAGGAGGCATGAGAAAAAGAAAAGAAAAACAGGAAAGAACAAATACTGCCCTGCTTCACCATTGGCAAGAATGCCAAGCCCTTGTGCTAGGGGGTCAAAACCCCTAGCAGGCTTCCCAGATCAGACAGGCAAACCCAAGCCCCTTTCCACTTGCTCTCCCATGGATTGACCGATCCACACACAGTGCTTGCCCTCTGCTGAAAAAGGTAATTAGATGGTGCGTAGCTTTAGAACTTACTCAACCAAACAATTATGAGTTATCATGAATGTATATGAGATTTTTATTTATTTATTTATTCATTTATGCATGCATGCAGGCCTTCAAGTCAGTGTTGGCTCCTGGTAACTGCCTGGAGAAGCCCCTGCGGTTTTCTTGACCAGAGTCACTTTCTCGTGAGATGGGCAGTGTCCAAATTTGAAATACAGATAAATAACGTGAATACATTTCAGAAGTGGTTTGCCGCTCCCTCCTTCCTAGGGCTGAGAAAGAGGGCTTTGTGCTTACGGCGTCCTGGTTTCTAGCCTGATGCCTTAACCATTACACCAAACTGCCTCTGTTATATGGGAGATACCAGGCGCCTATTTCATCTTAAGCACTTCCCATTTTAACAGAATTCAGAAGATACAGGAGAAGAGAACTTTGCAATCTGAAGCAGGGAGCACCGAACTGAACCTTTGTTCCTTTTTAGCCTATGTCACAATGAAATCAGCTTTTTAGTCATTGTTTGCCTACCAAATCTGGGCTGAAAAAATCTGAATGACCGTCGGAGGGCTGCACACTGTTCTCTCGCTCTTTTTTTTTTGCTGCTCCCTAATGGACTGTGGAATTTTGCAACCCAGATATCGTAGCCCTACTTTATGTACAAACAGGGCTTCTGAAAATAGATTAAGCCAGTGAGGACATTTGTGGGAAATATAGCTTTATTCAAAAGCAAGTCTGTTTTGACTGTGAGATGTTTCAGGTAAAAGATGGTGAACAGGATGATCCTATCTTGGGCCAGCTGCTCAACTGAACATTGTGTCTTTTCCCACCCTCATCTTTCCCATCCGCAGCTCCTATCTTTTTAGCTTGAGTACAGGGTGTACAAGATCGGTAAAATGGTAAGAAAGTCGTTTAAGAATGACTCTGCTTGGAATGAGAACAGCTACAGAAGAATTACTTTTGCTAGGCCTGTGTAGCCAATCCCAGCATGGGAATAGAAAGTTGGGGAGGAAGAATTCTCAAGGCACAGCAAGAATTTAGAACAGGGGAAGGGCTTCAGCCAGGAGGTCACACCTGGCTGCTCTGTTCTCCCAGACAGAAGCCAAGAACCTGTTGGACAGAAAGTTGAAGTTTTGCTGGCTTACCTGTCCTTAACAACAGCATTGATGAGTGGGTTCACTTGCTTGATCCTCTCAATGTATGTTTCAAGAAGATCGACACACTTCACCTGGGAGGGACAGAAATGCATTTTGATGAAATAAATTCTTTCCAGGCTGGGTTTTACAGCAAGCATCCTTACTGTCTATCATAGGCACCAGAAAGCTAGTCTTCAGTCTCTAAAGAAGACCCCTTCTGGTTCTCCCATCCTACATATAGCACCTCAGCTCCCTGGAAGAAGATGGAATACAAAGTTAGGAAAGATATATTCCTGGTCAAAGGAGATCTCTAAGGAAACCTCATACTTTATATTTAGCCCAAAAAGGGAGGCCAGGCATATGATAATGCTCTGCCAATCAACATTCAACAGTAGCCTAGTCCACATCCAGTTTGGACTGACCCAATTTGCTCTACAAGGGGCTGCCTTTGAAGACCATGAGGAAGCTTCAGTTGCTCAGCCTGCAGCTACTCATACAGCTATTGGGATATCAATATTTGCCCATGTGACAATTCTACTTTGGGAGCTGTGCTGGCTACTAGTTGGCGTCTTGGTACAATTCAAGGTACACCTACTCCCTTACAAGTTCTTCATAGCTCAAGGCCTGGATATCTATGATTGCCTACTCTAAGCTGAATCTGCCCATCCAGTGAGATAAGGAAGAAAGGGTTTGCTGAGGGTCCTTTCCTTGAGTGAATGCCACCCAGAGGGACTCGGGGAGAAGCCTTCTCAGTGATTGCCCCCTTTTTGTGGAAGAACTTACCCCAGATTTCTGGTCCTCCCCATCTTTGGGGCTTCCAAAGGGCTGTAAAGGTCTCAATGATAAAACAAGGTCATCTTATGGGGCCTCAGAGAAGGGCCTTCTCTAAGGCCACCCCTGGCCTCTGGAAGAGCCTCCCCCCAAAATCCATATGGCCTCATCCTTGCTTTCAGAATTTTTGATTCTTCAGCAGACTGTCAAGCAGGGGAGTTGGGACCCTGTTTCAAGTTTGATTGATATTTGGATCTGTGGTTGAAGCTTCTCCAGGGTGAGCTGTTATCCTGATACCCCTATTCCAGATTTTTCTTTTTCTTTCCTGTTTTTTAAATGGGTTTATTACATTGTTGTCTGTGACCTGCCCTGGCAGGAGAGGCGGCTTGGAAACCAATGAAATACTGTTGATAAAATAAATAATAAAAATAAAGGCTGGCTCTTTGGGAAGGCTTTGGGGGATGTGAGAGTTTAGTTTACCCCTGGAATGGCATTGGGGTTGTATGCTGACTGAAGTGATGTGATGTTCTCAACCCTATGTTTGGCACTCTGTAAGCCAGCTCAGAGCCTACAGGAACCATCAACCTTGGAAGATATTTATGATTCATAGGACTATTGGTATATTGTATTTTAATTAATATTTATTCTTTGCCTGTAAATCGCCCAGAGTCACTTCCAGGGAGATGGCTGATGACAAATGTGAAATTTTAAATAAATATAAATAAATATAAATTAGTGGACCGAAACTCAAGTCAGTTAATCAATTAATCTATAAACCGTCCTACATAGCCTGTGCTATTTTTACAGATAGCTAAGTTACACGATCCTTTGAAGCCACCGGCTGCGCATAACTAAATAAAGGCAGTTCAGCTGAAACATGATTAAAGAGTTGAACTTTAGCACTAAACAATTAACAGCCTGACTCAGATATTGCAAAGCACAGTTGGCATTGCCCATATGTTGCTCATAGGCCTCAAACTGGTACTGGCCCATATCTATCAATGTGTGGGAGAAATCATGGCTGTATGGATCTCCCAGGATTACAAGCAACATATCTGTAAAAACCCAGCTACTGGGGGAAAAGAACCATGAGAATGGATTATTGTTCCACTGCTCCCTGCTAGTGGGCTTCCTGTAAGTTGAAAGTTTAGTTTATTTATGGCCAAAGACCAACAACCTACCCTACCATAAAAACGATCATGGAAAAATAAATCTAAACTCCAATATTGGACATTCTTTGTATATAATGATACACAATACAACAGCGATAGGCCCTGCCAAATGACACCTGCAATTGCACAGGCATACCATTACAGATTGGGACAAAGATGCTCCTCCTTAGGGGCACCATTCAATTTTCCTTCTTAGGGCCACACATCAAACCTAGCTTGAGTAAAAGCTCTCCTGCTCTTTGGGCGTGAGATAAGAAACTGCTGGAAAAACTCTGCTAAATAAATCAGTGCAATACTGTTAGGGGTAAGAGGTGAGACCTTTCAGCATGTTTAAAGAGGATTTAAACCCCAGTTTATTCCCTTTAACCCAGATGATGTAAAATGATCTTGAGAGGTCAGGGACACCAGAAGGCTCTCAAATTAAATTAGCAGGAGTCAATATTTAGGTAGCGTGGCTACACACAAATCTCTAGGGAGATCAGGCCCATCTTAGCAAGGGACCATTTTTTAATTCTTTTTCAGGTTCTCTTTTGTGGTTGTTTATAGTTTTGAAGTGTTCGATAGATAAACAAACGATAAATAAAGTGTTCAGTTACAAAAGAAACAAGGAACTGGATACACAGGGGTGGGAGGTGGCAAGGAATGTGCCCATGAAACCTCTTTGGAATTCTGACTGAGCAATTTCAGAAGACCTCAGTATGATGTTTACAAACCTGTGCACACAAATCAGGTAGCTCAAAACTTTTGCTCTTGGATCGTGGTGGAATAAGGGACGTTAAACCCAACAGGGTTCCCCTTCTGCCCCTATCAATGGTAAAATAAAACCTATAAGGGGCAGAGTATTTATTTTAAAGTGTGTGTGACGGGCGAAGAGGAACAGAAGATTGAATTCCCATGCCTTATTACCCTCCTTCTAATGCTTTCCAGAGCTAGAAAAAGAGAACATTTTAAATTCTTTGGCCCTGAGATTTAATTTTCAGAAACCAGACTTCAGCAGGATTAGAATAGGGCTATCTTATTTTTAGAACACAGGGTTTTTCCCCCTGCCCCGAGCTCAGATATTTTCTGTAAGAAAGCTAAGCTTTTCAAGCTTGGCGTTCTTATCAGAAGGGACTTAGGAGTACTTTCTACTAATTTCAGGGACCTGAAATTCCCTGTTTTTCCCATGCAGAGTGAGGAAATCAGTTTAGCCTAGGAGAGTGTTGTTTGTTATTGCAATTTCACTGCTCCCTTTCCCTTCTGACAGTTACGCAAAATCAGATTTTTCAGCCCAGTGGTGAGGCAAGAGGAGCACTGAAGTTTTAGAGGAAAAGGTTTAGGAGCCCAAGGCAAGGGAATCGACTCCTTTGCTTTAGGTCACTCTTCCGATGTATGGCCTTCATTTCTTAGTGCACCAAAGTCTAGAGAGTATTTCAGGTCATTTGCAGAAATGGCAAAACTGACCTGTTTGGTCAGAGAACAAAAACAAAAACTTTTTTGAAAGATCGGAAGCCTCCTATGGACTTTTTGCTGAAAGAAGAAAAGAAATGCATGGATGATTTATGGATTTGAAGACTAAGAAAGATGGGGACTAAATGAAGGGGTGAAGGGACTTGTAAAATACTGAAGAGGGAGGAGGGACAATAAGAATGTAATTATCTGTTGAAAAGAAGGTTGGAAGTCATCTGAATGTTTCTTAACTTTGGTTTACTTTTTCTTTTCTTTTCTTTTCTGTTTTGTTTCTGTTTTCTTTTGGTTTGTTATTAAGTATTATATGACAATTTTCAATAAATATAATTTTAAAAAGAGAGTATTTCAGGTGACAGAAGGCTGCTGTAGAGAGGAGGATCAATACATGGAAGACAGGGCTTCAATAAACAGGTAATGCAATCCCCCTAAGGGCAAAAATTCTAGTTTTAGAAAAAAGAGATCGCCAGGGTCCAAATAGCCTGACTTCCCTTACCAGGAAAAAAACTGCATGCATCTAGAAGAGTGAATTTTATGGCAGGATTTCCTAAAGACATTTTTGAGACCTGCTTAGTCATCTCTTCAGGACTGGCAAATCTCTAATTTACAGAAACTGGGATGTTTGCTCCTTAATCCCAGATTAGGGATTTGTATGTAGGCGGAGGGGAAGGGAGATTTTTTAGAATGAAAGATATAAGCCCTGGTTATATTTATCCTCATGGATTTGGCCTTAATGTAGGCCCCCACCCACTGATTCCAGATGCAGACCGGGAGGCAGAGAATATCATTCAGTGTGATCAGACAAGCTCTCTGTACCATTCCCAACTTCCACCATTTTCCAGGCATCCCAAAACTTTACAGGGTGGTTCAGAAGTGGCAGACATTTCAAGTGGGATCACTGCTTGGTGAGATATCCGGGCTGGACAAACACACATTACTCGAAACCCTGCTGGATCGCCTCTCCCATCGCCACTAAATGTGCTTGCCAACCGATGGGAGCTGTAGTCCAACTACAGGGCCTCTGTACACCAGACTGCAAAGAGCTGCTCAGATAAGCTCTTTCCACCTACGGGGAACACAGTAAATAGGAAGCAGGAGAGGATCCCGCCTGCACGGGTCAAATCCAAGGACAGGATGGGATCACCCTGGGCAGGTTATTCTCCCCCAGCCCAAACCCACCTCCCGGGATTGCTGTTGGGATCAAACAGGAGCGGGGAACGGGGGGGCGGAGCGGGGCTCTTGGAACACCTTCCCAAGGGGTAGAAACGGACGACTAAAGACGCGCCTCTTTTTTATCTTTTCCTTCCCTTGCATCTTTTCTCTTCTTTTTCTTTCGCTGTATGGAAAAACTTTCCCTTTGACTTTCCCTGGAGGGCACGCTCTTCATACGGGCGGGCGTGCAAGGGAATACACCGACGAGGCGCGCGCGCCTGG